ATAAATAAGACATATATAAAGAGACAGACAGAGAGTGCGTTGTATGTGTGTTTGTATATATGTGTGTGTGTATATATATGTGTGTTTGTATATATGTGTGTGTGTATATATATGTGTCTTTGTATATATGTGTGTTTATATATATATGTGTGTGTTTGTATATATATGTGTGTTTGTATATATGTGTGTTTGTATATATATGTGTGTTTGTATATATGTGTGTTTGTATATATGTGTGTGTGTGTATATATATGTGTGTTTGTATATATGTGTGTTTATATATATATATATGTGTGTGTTTATATGTGTGTTTATATATATATATATATATATATGTGTGTGTGTATATAGTTGTGTTTGTATATGTGTGTGTGTGTGTGTATATATAGGTGTGTGTATATATATATGTGTGTTTGTATATAGGTGTATGTGTGTGTATATATATATATATATATATATATATGAGACAGAGACGGCCACTCGTTGTAGATGGGTGTGTGTGTGTGAGTGTGTGTGTGTGTGTGTGTGTGTGTGTGTGTGTGTGTGTGGAGGGGTGGGGGGGTTAGAGCAATTTTCGGTGGGGGAGGGGATTTCTTTTACTCTAAATATCAAACCAATAAAGGTTGCTGGCGCTCCAGGCATTAAGAGATGGGAAACTGGGCTTTGGTAGACAGCTTGGTTAACGCTTTCCTTGCCATTCCTGCCTGTGGGTGGCTCTCTGGCAGGGAGTGGGTTAAGCAGACAGCCAGCACTGAGTGCAGTCAGGTATTAGGAGCTGCCAGAGAACTTGCTGTCAGGATCTTAGCAGAGGTTAGAGCTCGATGCTGTGGGTCCCCAGTGGCTCTAATTAACGAGCTGTCTGGGATAACTATAGCTCATCAAATGGTCTGAGATCAGCAGCCCAGGTGTATGTACTCTATAACGTCTTAGTATACTTACTGTATTCCTTCCTAGTATACTTACTGTGTTCCTTCCTAGTATACTTATTGTATTCCTTCCTAGTATACTTACTGTATTCATTCCTAGTATACTTACTGTATTCCTTCCTAGTATACTTACTGTATTCCTTCCTAGTATACTTATTGTATTCCTTCCTAGTATACTTATTGTATTCCTTCCTAGTATACTTACTGTATTCCTTCCTAGTATACTTATTGTATTCCTTCCTAGAATATTTGCTGTATTCCCTCCTAGTACATTTAATGTATTCCTTCCTAGTATACTTACTGTATTTAGTCCTAGTATACTTACTGTATTCCTTCCTAGTAAAATTATTGTATTCCTTCTTAGAATATTTACTGTTTTCCTTCCTACTATACTTACTCTATTCCTTCCTGGTATACTTACTGTATTTCTCCCTACAACATTTACTGTATGTCTGCCAGGCTATGGGCTCAGCAATCCAAATATGTGTATATATAGTCAACAGGCAGGGGATTAAGCGATACAAGTATGTGTACTAAATAGCTTACTGTCTGGGGACTCAGCAATCTATGTACTGTATACCTTATGTACTGTATACCTTACTGTCTATCTATGTACTATATACCTTACTGTCTATGTACTATATACCTTATGTACTGTATATCTTACTGTCTGGGGACTCAGTAGTCTATGTACTATATACCTTACTGTCTGGGAACTCGGCAATCTATGTACTATATATCTTATTGTCTAGGGACTCAGCAGTCTATGTACTATATACCTTAGTTTCTGGGGACTCAGCAATCTATGTACTATATACCTTACTGTCTGGGGACTCAGAAGTCTATGTACTATATACCTTACTGTCTGGGGACTCCGTAGTCTATGTACTATATACCTTACTGTCTGGGGACTCAGCAATTTATGTACTGTATACCTTACTGTCTGGGGACTCAGTAGTCTATGTACTGTATACCTTACTGTCTGGGAACTCAGCAATCTATGTACTATATACCTTACTGTCTGGGAACTCAGCAATCTATGTACTATATACCTTAGTTTCTGGGGACTCAGCAATGTATGTACTATATACCTTACTGTCTGGGAACTCAGCAATCTATGTACTATATACCTTAGTTTCTGGGGACTCAGCAATCTATGTACTATATACCTTACTGTCTGGGGACTCAGCAATCTATGTACTATATACCTTACTATCTGGGGACTCAGCAATCTATGTACTATATATCTTACTGTCTGGGGACTCAGTAGTCTATGTACTTTACTGTCTGGGGACTCCGTAGTCTATGTACTGTACACCTTACTCTCTGGGGACTCCGCAATCTATGTACTATATATCTTAGTTTCTGGGGACTCAGCAATCTATGTACTATATATCTTACTGTCTGGGGACTCAGAAGTCTATGTACTATATACCTTACTGTCTGGGGACTCCGTAGTCTATGTACTATATACCTTACTGTCTGGGGACTCAGCAATCTATGTACTATATACCTTACTGTCTGGGAACTCAGCAATCTATGTACTATATACCTTAGTTTCTGGGGACTCTGCAATCTATGTACTATATACCTTACTGTCTGGGGACTCAGCAATCTATGTACTATATACCTTACTGTCTGGGGACTCAGCAATCTATGTACTATATACCTTACTGTCTGGGAACTCAGCAATCTATGTACTATATACCTTAGTTTCTGGGGACTCTGCAATCTATGTACTATATACCTTAGTTTCTGGGGACTCAGCAATCTATGTACTATATACCTTACTGTCTGGGGACTCCGTAATCTATGTACTATATACCTTACTCTCTGGGGACTCCGCAATCTATGCACTATATACCTTACTGTCTGGGGACTCAGCAATCTATGTACTATATACCTTACTGTCTGGGGACTCAGCAATCTATGTACTATATACCTTACTATCTGGGGACTCAGCAATCTATGTACTATATACCTTAATTTCTGGGGACTCAGCAATCTATGTACTATATACCTTACTGTCTAGGGACTCCGCAAGCTATGTACTTTATACATTACTGTCTGGGGACTCCGCAATCTATGTACTATATACCTTACTGGAGGATGACTAGGCAATCTATGTACTGTATGTCTGCCAAGCTATTAACTCTGCAGCTCAGGTGAATGTTCTGTAGATCTTCATGATGGTCTAATCAGAAGCCCAAGTACACTGTATGCATGTAGTGTGCTCTCACCAATTTTTTATTTTTATTCACTGTATTTTGTGTGATTTGGGTGACCTATACTAGGTGATTGTAGCATTTTACTTCTTTTTAACCTTTTATTATCCACTACAGGTGGAGGCAAGAACACTTCACACAATTTCCCCAGAAATTGTAGCTTTTCTAGTTAAGTGTTCTTGCATAGCAAGACCACTTAATGTTATCTCACATATATATTCTTATTAAGTGTTCTTGCATAGCAAGACCACTTATTGTTATCTCACATATATATTCTTATTAAGTGTTCTTGCATAGCAAGACCACTTATTGTTATCTCACATATATTATTATTAAGTGTTCTTGCAAGAACACTTATTGTTATCTCACATATATATTATTCTTATTATAGCCAAATTTGCCACCCTAACTCCTCCCACAGTTTTTACACTACATAGACAAAAATTTACCAAAACGTGCAGATTGTTCCCGATCGGATTGCTATTACTTTGTGGAACGTTTCGCCGAATGGTTCACGGAATATCGTCGTTTTTGTGGCGCAATTTGTCCCATAGGAATGAATGGCAAAGCTACAGTGGGAGCTGCCAAAAGCTGAAGAATCAGGACATGATTTCTAAACTGCCACCACTCCCTCATTTTCAAGCCCACCTACACAAAACTTATATCAAAACGTTCAGCTATCCCTGCTGCCACTAAACATGTAAACGGCTAAGCCGTAGTCCTGATAATTTTCACAATATGACCATTTGTTTGCAACCAACGCCGTCCATTGACATTCATTGAAACTTCACTCTGCAAAGCTCAAATTTGAAGTGCAATTTCTAAAATGCGACTGTGCCTTCATTTTTAATACTTCAGAGACATACTATGCATCAAAATGTAGGTCTGGGTCTTGTGATTCCCACAATATAAAGCTCTTCGCTGTAGGATTTATAGTTTTTAAAATATGACCGTTTGAAGATGGCAACCACCAAATACTCTGACCTGTCAAGGCTGCAGCAGCAAGTGATGTCATAGACAGGGCCGTTTGAACACCTGCTAATGTTTTTATAAATGTATGGTTTAATGTAACTGTGCAACAACGTTGCAATTAAATATGCTATATAAATGATAACAGTTACTCCGCCCACTCCAGTTGTAGACTACTGGTGGAGGCAAGAACACTTCACACAATTTCCCCAGAAATTGTAGCTTTTCAAGTTCCTATTGCTGTTATATTGTATGTATGGCAGGCTGGGGATTCAGCAGCCCAGGTGTATATACTGTATGCCTGCCTGACTGGGAATTCTGCAATGTGCAGGTAAAGTATAAATTCCTGGCAGGGAATTCTGGACTTACTGAATTCTAAGCCCAGCTGCACGTCCTGTATGATTCTTGGCTCAGGACTCAGCAGGTGAATGGCTTCCTGGTGTATGTATCAAATGCCTGACTGTCTGAGGTGTCAGCAGTGGTGTATTTTGGATTTGTGCTGCCCTAGTCAGGATGGTGCTGAAGCATCCCTCCCACCACCCCACATTTAAATTGTCCCCACCCCTTCCTGTCAAGGCTGCACTTTGACTGACAGACACTTTCTTACTGATGCATTCAATGACATACACTCACTAAAAGATACAGTCACAGGCACACAAACTGTTTAACCAACACACACTTTCACTGACACACACACACACACTCACTGACATACACACACTCTCATATACACTGACAAACAATGACATATACACACACACTCACTATTACTCAGACACACACTGACAGACTCACACTCACTGACAGATGCATACACTCATTGACAGACACACACTGATATACACTGACAAACAATGACATACACACACACTCACTGATTTGATACACTTTGACAGACACACATTATTACTCAGACACAGTGTGTGTCTGAGTAATAATGTGTGTCTGTCAAAGTGTATCAAATCAGTGAGTGTGTGTGTATGTCATTGTTTGTCAGTGTATATCAGTGTGTGTCTGTCAATGAGTGTATGCATCTGTCAGTGAGTGTGAGTCTGTCAGTGTGTGTCTGAGTAATAGTGAGTGTGTGTGTATATGTCATTGTTTGTCAGTGTATATGAGAGTGTGTGTATGTCAGTGAGTGTGTGTGTGTGTGTCAGTGAAAGTGTGTGTTGGTTAAACAGTTTGTGTGCCTGTGACTGTATCTTTTAGTGAGTGTATGTCATTGAATGCATCAGTAAGAAAGTGTCTGTCAGTCAAAGTGCAGCCTTGACAGGAAGGGGTGGGGACAATTTAAATGTGGGGTGGTGGGAGGGATGCTTCAGCACACTTACTGACAGATGCACGCACTCACTGACAGATGCACACACTCACTGATAGACACAACCACACTCATTGACCAACACATACACACTCACTGACAGACACTCACTGACAGACACACACACATTCACTCCCAGACACACACACACTCACTCCCAGACACCTACCCTTACAGACACACACAGACACACACTCACTCACAGACACACACAGTTACAGACACACACATTCACTCACTGACACACAAACACACACATTTCCCACAACACTCACAAATTATTATTTTTTTTTCATTTTAATTTAAATCCACCCAGCCTCCCCGGGAGAGGTGGAGTGGATTACTTACCTGCAGTCCAGTAGGACTGCTGCGCCGGCAAGTAGGGGGCGGACAGGCAGCGTAGGTGCGAGGGAGCTATAATCTTCCTGCTCAGCTCCCTCGCGTGCCGCTTAGTGATGCCGCGAGCTGGAGTGATGTCATATTCCGACTGCCCGCTGTGATAGAAGCTGCCAATCACCTTAGGGGGCTCAAAAGTGTCCAGCCGGCCAGCTCTTGAGCCCCCAGGACACGAAGCAAACAAGGCATCCGCCTGGGCTTTTTTTGCCGCTCCCTGCAAAGTGCTGCCCAAGGCAAACGCCTTGTTTGCCTCGTGTAAAATATATCACTAGGTGTCAAGAGTATAAACTGTACTGTGAGCAAAAAAGTATTTGATCCCCTGCTGATTTTGAAAGTTTGCTCACTGACAAAAAAAATGATCAGTCTATAATTTTACTATATGACAGGAGGCGAATATTAGCATAATCTTTCTTTACTTAAAACTCCAGCACAGATCAATCAAAACTTTTAAACCAAACAGAAACAAGAATCACTACTATAAATAGCTCTGTGATGCCTTCCACTTCCTCTTTCTTTGCTGCTCCTGCCAGAGTACAGGTCAGAGTATTACTTCATCACTTCTACCTATTTGTACTTTGTCAGCTTATTCTGTTTATGTTTCTATTTATTTTCTCTACCCCCTGTCCCTGCTCCTGTAACCCTGCCTTCCCCCCATCTACCCGGCTGTCTCTCTGAGTAGCACTCCGCCCGCGGCCTACTCCGTTGCTCGCGGGCGGGTGGTGTTACCGGTTCCAGTTCCCTTCGTCGGGCCTGTTCCGGGTGGCGCAAGGGGGGCATCTGATTACTGTGGGGTCCTGGGGGTTGTTCTCCGCCCGCCCCCATCTTGGATTTCGAGCCGCGATACTCACTGCGGCCTCTTGTTTTCTCCTGACTTATTTCAGACTGTTTTAAGCGTAGGTATTTCTCCTGACGACCGTGTACACGGCACCAGCCTTCCGGGACGCTTCTTCCCTACTGTCAGGATTCTGTCAGCAATAACAAGTAAGGATATTTGCTTATGTGCTCTTGTTATCATATTGCCTACTACACATACTGAACCTGCAGTACTATCAGGGTGAGCCTTTGACACTGAAGGGACCAGGGCATTGCACGTACCATAACCCTTATTGGGACCCCCATGCTTATGTATATGGTTGCATCTGTTTGACTGGTATCTTTCCCACAGAGGACACACAGGGTATACAGCCCCTGCACTATTGGAAGCTTTTAACACCAATTCAGGGTTTCACTCCCTGACACTAGCCGCTCACTACGACCGTCATTGAGATTCACTCTCACTATAATTGGGTCTACCTCACTTGTTGAGTAAATAGTATTACACCATTGGGCATACCCCGATTGTACTTGCAGGGGACTCCCGGCAGCCTTACATGGCCTGCACGGACGCTAATCTGTGTACTCTCCTCCACAGACCACGAAATGAGTGATACACCACCGCAGACCCAGGACTTCCAGTCCATGATTAACGCCACAGTGGCAGCATCGGTGGAAAAAGCCCTAGCTAAAATACTCACCCAACCTCCACCTGAGGTACTCAACCTGCCCTCGGGCACATCCCCTTCACAGGGTGACGATGCTGCAGGCTCTGACAGATCCATTCTGGGCGCAGCCCCGTTATTTAAATGCCACAGAACTGGCGCAACACCCGTATCCAGACCTTCAGGGAAAGAACCAGCAAAGCGCACCAAACGGGTAGGGAGGCCTGAACTCTCCCCACCGGTACACTCCTCGGGGGAGGACGAGGACTACCCTCCAGCTCTGGATATCTTAGATGAATGGAGGGCGGATGAATCCGCATCCGACGACGGGGATGACCGGCCTCCCCATGATTCCAAGTATGTGTCTGGTGCTCTCGCAGGTGCCCCCTCTCCTCAGGGATTGACACACAACCTCTCCTCCCAGGAGGTAGATGGCCTTTTTCTGGACTCCCAAGGTTGCCCTTTGTTTGATCCTCACACCATTAGACACCCGAGGTCCTCAGAATGGTCCCTACCCGAGCATTTAGCATGCTTCGTGCATTTCTGGATACCCAAACCTCTAGAAAAAGAGGTAAGGGCGAGGCTACGGGCAGAATGCCCGCGCCCCATCCTACCCAATAAGATGGCAGTGACCTCGGAGTTCGACCAAACTGTGGTCGTGTTCATGTCCCGGACAGGATGGGATCCCAGGAAAGGAGTAGAGAGAGGCCTGAAGGCCACACAGGACGAACTGCTTGATATCCTGGAACCTTTGGCGAAGATACTATATTTCGCCGACAAGGCCCTGACCCACAGCTCACAGCTGGACCCTCATGCCATACGTGAGTGGGCTCAGAGATGCGCGTGTCTCCTAGGCAATACCAATGCAGCGATCTGCATGGAGAGATGTAGAGCGGCGCTAGTATGCATGGACACTAAGCTCATGAACATGGCAACCAAGGAACTGGGGGCTTCAGCCAACGGTCTCTTGTTTGGTGACGCTTTTATAGCGGAATTGAAGAAACACGTGTCTCTCTTTATGACACTCAACAAGGCCCAGACATCACTGCGACAAGTCTTCCGCACACCAACACCCCGTGGGGTTTTTGGAAGGGCTGGTAGGCAGAGAGGCCATGCCACCAGCTGATTTTGATCTTCTGGACCCAGGCCCAACCCTCCATCTACATCATTCTACCCAAGTTCTCTCTACCGACAACCCATGCACTATAGAGGGGCGACCAGGTCCAGAGGCTCTCGCGGACGTGGACGCGGTCAATTCCCTTCAGGTAGGTCCCGCTTTATGTTACCCTTTCATTGCCTCAACTGCAGGGAGATTGTCTCTTTTCTTCCAGAACTGGAAAGACATTTCAGCACACACCTGGATACTCCAAAAGGTTCGGGGATACAACATCGAATTCTCTTCCAGCCCCACTCAACTACACCCTCCGCAGCCCCTTCGGGTATCCGAGGCCCATCAGCGTCTCAAGGACGAGGAGATACAGTCGCTTTTCGCCAAAGGAGCGGTCCAATGGGCCCCCGGCAAGGGAGGCTTTATCAGCAACATCTTCCTGGTGCGGAAAAAGACGGTCGAATTTCGACCTGTCATTAACCTTCGCCAGTTGAATACCTTCGTTGTTTACTGACACTTGATGGAGGGCATCCAGCTGTTACAAAATCTCCCTTTGAAGGACAAATGGTTCACATGGTTAGACCTAAAGGATGCCTACCTGTCTGTTCCGATTGCACCGAACTGCCGAAAGTTCCTAAGGTTCCATTGGAGAAACGCCACCTGCCATTCGGCCTGAGCTCGGCCCCCAGGTGTATCACAAAAATACTGAAACCTGTCATGGCGCGGATATGGACTCTGGGGATACGGTGCCTGATCTATCTAGATGACTTGCTGATCTTCCGCAACTTGGCCTCTCTACTGCTCTCTCAGACGAGATTTATCGTGGACTTTATCGAATCGTTGGGTTTCATAGTAAACAAGGAAAAGTCGGCTCTCGAACCAGCTCTAATCGTTCAGTTCCTGGGATTCGACCCTTGTCGAAAATTACATCTCTCCGGAAGGAAATTCGGAAGGTCCTATGATTAGATCTCATCCCTCTACGGCTCCTGGCACGTCTCGGAGGTCTTCTTTTCACCTCCATACAGGCGATATATCCGTGCCCACTCCACTACAGAGCCATGCAACGACACAAGGCCCACTTCTTACGGGCAGGCTACTCCAACGACCAACTGATACCGATCAGCACAGAGGTGCGCAAGGAACTCCATTGGTGGCTCCTTCATATGCAGGCCTGGAATGGGAAAGCCATCTTTGGGCCTTCTCCGGACTTCATGGTGGAATCAGACGCCAGCCTTTGGGGCTGGAGAGCGCATTGCGCAGAGTCCTCCACTGGGGGCTTCACGAGGAATCGGAAATGCACATCAACTGCTTGGAATTGATAGCAGGCTCCATTACCATCTGCAGCCTGGGCAAACACATGTCGAACAGTTGTTTACTGCTGCACATGGACAATATTTCGGCAGTGCAGTACATCAACCGCCTGGGCGGGGCTCGATCTCAAGCACTCTCAGAAGCGACCAAAGACATTTATACCTTTTGCCTCTACAGGAACATCACGCAGAGAGCGGAATACCTCCCGGGCACCTCCAACCTCACGGCGGATAGGTACTAACGCCACTGGAGGGACAACAGCGACGGGCACATTGATGGGGAGGTATTTGAGGCTCTAACTCAGCTCACGGGTCCCCTACAGATAGACCTCCTTGCCTCCGGGACGACCC